CTATCATGTAGTACCATGTCATAACCATGTAACCCAGTGCAAAGCTTCCATTCCATTCACTATGAGTCACTGAGGCTAGAATCTAAGTTTCTACTACATTTTACAGAGCCTGCCAATTACAAAAGTTAAATGAAGTTTCTTGAAGCAGGTAGGTGGTCATCCAGTGTTTTTTGAGTGAATGAACGAGCTCTGGAATACACAAATAATAAACATTTACAGACCCATATGTTTACATGGCATCATCCTGCAGGTGATTGCCATGGCAGTACCTACTCCTCTTCTTAACTACAAGTGTCTCATAGGCAGGATGCCACAACTCCTCCAGGTCTGGCCCAGGGAAGGTGGTGCCCAGGGAGAAGCCACAGGTTGGACCATCTGTGGCCTGACTCTTGCCAGAGCTACTTAGAGCCAGTGCCCAGTGACTTCAGGTGGAGGTGGATACCATTCTTGGAGCGCAGGATCAGCTGGGGTATCTTGATGGGCAGCCGTGAGGGGTCCAGAGAGTACTCAAAGCGGAGCAAGCAGAGGGCCGTGACCACCTTCATCTCATTCATGGCAAACTGCTGGCCAATGCAGTTCCTGTGATGATCAGCACAAAGAGGCATCAGACATGGGGTACCCGGAGTGATAAAACCCAGGCTGTCATCGACCAGCAAAAATCAGTTACTGATGTTGGATGAATAACTGGCTGATAAATTGATTGGCCCAAGCTTAAGAAACAGGCTTTGGGAGCATGGTGAGGTCCAGAACAAGTAGATTCACACTGGAGGTGTGAAAGAGGTTTACCTACTTTCAAGGGACAGGAATCTGATGAGGGCAAGAAGGTCCCTGGAGCCTACCCTGCGTTAGGACCACCACAAGTCCAGCATGGGTCCCACTTACACACATTAGCCCACAATCCTGCCTCCCATGATGCCCTCCACCCTCTGCTCCCCAGTCCTGTGGATGTTGGGCCTCTCCCTACCTGGGCCCAGCAGAGAAGGGCATGAAGGCATAAGGGTGGCGTCCAGATGCATTCTCAGGAGAAAAGCGCAGGGGGTCAAAGACCTAAGGGGACAGCCTTTTCTTAAATACCCACCAGGTTCCACGGAGGGTGACCCTCATGGCCTCCTACCCTGTCTGAGCTCTGGACCCAGGGAAGGGGTACCTCAGGGTCGGGCCACACTGCGCTGTTCCTATGGAGAGCATAGATGTGCAGAGAGATCAGGCTGCCTGTGGGCAAAGCAGAGGCCTGTGACTAGGTGGTCCTGGCAGCCAGACCCACCACCACCACATGAGGCCAGAATCCCACTGGGTCCCTATAACTGGAGCATTAGCCCCTGCCTGACCACCTCCAGTGATGGAGAGTTACTCAACTCATCAAAAGTATTTTTGATCATCATCATGTCAGTTCCTATAATCCCAGCACTGGGCCCAGCACCTGACACAGATATTTGTGGAAAAGGGAGGAATGAACGCAGTCCCCCGTGAGATAGAATAGGAAAGGAGTATTCTGCCTGCAGTCAACTGACTCTCAGGAGATTATTCATAACATGCTGTTGTCAAATGTAATAGCTATCATTCATCAGGTGCTTACTATACACCAGGTATAGGATTAATGCACTTTTGGAAGCTGTCACATACAGTTGTGCAGGTTGCACACTGCACAAAATCATGATGTTCTCTGATGTTCAGGGCACAACCTGCCTGGTGGTACATGACAGCCATGACAAAACATTGTCTTTTGTCTTTTTAATCTTGATGACAACCTTCTCACCACCATTTTACAAAGGAGGAAATGGAGACTTAGAGGCAGAAGAACTTATCAATACCTTGTGCAGCCAGGATTTGGACCCTGTACAGTCTGAACACAAGCCTGAGCTCTTCCTCAACAGGGCAAAGATTGGGCTAAAGGCAGAGAGGGCATCAGAGGAGCATCCAGAGGACTCCAGTTCCACCCCCAAATCTATCCCATCCCACCTGCAGGTAGAGATCGGCCATCTACAAAGGCGACAGGCTTGCTGAGCTGGCGGTAGACCTGGGGCACTGGTGGGTAGAGGCGGAAGCTCTCCTTGATGCACATAGTCAGGTAAGTCATCTTGCTCAGATCATCCCTGCCAGCCACACAACCAGAACATTCTTGGAAATGGGAGCAACAGGATCCTGGGAGAAGGCAGCTCCAGCTCCAACTTCCCCCTCTCACCACCGTACACTCAGGAATCAGAGGGCACAAGGTCCAAGTGTCCAGAGATCTGGTTCTACTTCCCTCTGTCCCCTTCTCATATTTACTGATAGGAGGGAAGGCACAGGACCCTAGGTATGTATGTGACAAGATAAGGTCACGCCTGTGTCTCCCAGGGCTTCATGGAAGCCGAGAAGGGATGGTGTTTTAGGCTTTACTTGGTGTCCGCCAGGGAACTGGATGAAAGAGGACAGGAGCTGATACACGTTGGTTGAATGGACCAACCAATGTCCATGCATTGTTTAATGTACGAACAATGACAAGCTCAGGTAAAATGTGTGCACAGGGGCATCTTTTCCTCTTGGCCACCAAGTAGCTCAGACCCAAATGTGAGGTCTGACTATCACTGCTATGTAATATTTTATTGCAGAGCCCCAAGCTGCAGCTCCTTTTACCCCTTGGTCCTGATTTTTCATTTGTGTTTTACTGTTTGATTAAATAAGTATCCTCTAGGTTGATTCATGTTCTAGATGGAATGAAGTAAAGATAAAAATAAAAATTTATTTTTTGTATTTTTTTTTTTTGAGACAGAGTTTCACTTTGTCACCCTCGATAGAGTGCTATGGTATGATAGCTCACAGCAGCCTCAAACTCTCCGGCTCAAGCGATTCTCTTGCCTCAGCCTCCCAAGTAGCTGGGACTGTAGCCTGCCACAATGCCTGGCTATTTTTAGAAAAGGGGTCTCCCTGTTGCTCAGGCTGGTCTTGAACCTGTGAGCTCAGGCAATTCACCCGCCTCGGCCTTCCAGAGTGCTACGATTACAGGCATGAGCCACTGTGCCTGGTGCTAAAATAAAAATTTTAACTCCTTGCCTCACACTGTGTTCACACTATTACCCAGCCTAGAAGGCCCAGCCCTCCCTTTCTCTCTTTGCCTGAATTTTAATCTTCCTTACAAAGTCAATTCAAGCCCCATTCTTCCCGCTGCCCTATTTTCTCTGGCTTTTTGGGCATGTGAGTTTGTCTCTCTAAAAACTCCCCATTGGCAGCACCTGTGTTCCTCTTCCTCTTCACACCTGCACTCCTGATAGCATCTGGCATGTGGCTGGACACCTGGGGCAGGGGGCGTTGCAGAGAAGGTTCCAACTAAAAATGGCTAATGAGGATTTTGCCCTCCATGTCTCAGCCCTGGAATTATAGGTAGTCTCCCCCAACTGACTCTAATGTTCCTCCACCAACTGAACATTTTCTGCACCATACTGTGCACTTAGCCTTGTGCAGGAGTTGCTCAGGAGTCAAAGAGAAAGACTAAGTGTCTGACCCAGCAAAGCCCTGAGCAGGCAGGAGGCATCAGGGAGAGGGGTGTTCAGGCAGAGGTAGAGAGGAGCCTCAGAGAGATTCCCAGAGACCGTGCTCAAACAGATAGCAGAGGCAATGGTTTTGTGTTCAGGAGTCCAGTCTTGAGCCAAGAAATAGGGAAGAACAATTACAAGTGTTTAAGTGATAGGAGTGTGGGAATAGTCTCTTCTCCTTTACCAGCGGGAGGAGTCTGGAAGCTGAGTACTGCCATCCAAAGACAGGTGGCAAGGGACCGGCTCTTCTGACTGTCCCAGCTCTGTTCATGCCCCACATCTACCTCTTTCTCTCCCAGCCTTCCCTGCTCTAGGCAGAAACCCGGAAAAGTAGTCAGGTTCTGCCATCGGAGAAAATCAACACATTGAAAATCAGCCTTGTGTCGACAACTTTTTCTATGGGACTCATCTGAACAGGTTCCACTGTGAAATGGGCTCAGGGATATGTCTATGCTCAACCACCCGCTTCAAAAAGAAGCAACAGCAGGGGAAGGAGCAAGACAGCTGCTGCCACTCTCACCTGGTTTCCAGGATGGCCCAGGAAAAGATAGGCACAGCCTTCAGAGCGCTGAGCAGTACGGACTGGACTCACGCTGAGCCTCACTCACCACTGGATGGAGTTCTGGTCTCCTAGGATCTCACGGATCTCCTCCCGGCAAAGACGCTGGTGCTCTGGATATTTGGCCATGCAGTAGAGAAACCAGGAGATGCCACTGGTGGTGGTGTCATGGCCTTCAAACATGAATGTGTCCACTTCAGCCCGGAGGTCTGTATCTGACAGCTTGATCCCATCTCCATCCTGGGTTAGGGAAGGCATAATAGGAGAGCTCAAGGTATTTGGGGTACCAAGAAAAACTGCAATAATAGTTCAGTGAAGTTTACTCAAATGAAGCTCTGAGGGAGGGAGTGAGCACTCTTTTTCAGACTGGGGGTTAGAACTTTCCCCCAGATTCCAGTGGTTTTCCCAAGCTTGGTCTGGATGCCTCCTACTCCAAGTGACTTGTAACTTTATCAAGCCCCAACGGTTAGCTGTGCTCACTTGCACACAGAATGCCACCTGGCAGAGGAAGACATCTTTGTCCACATCCACTCCCTGTCTCCTTAGCTAAACTGTAAGCTCTTGGAGGCCAGACCTCTCCCACCTCTGCTGCCTAGCACAGGAAGTGATCCAGTGTAGGAGTTCAGTGGGTTTCTGGGGTGAATGAGTAAAGGACCAAATGAGTGAATGAATGAATGAATGAAGTCTAAGATTCCAAGATTCTGTGGTGCCAAGAACCTCTTAGAAGTCTAGAAATATCTTCAGGCTACTACCATGTGGCCCAGGCTCCTGACCACACTTCTTCCAATGCCACAGCCCAGCCACATACACCCATCACCTGCCTGCCTGGACTTTGGCGGATATGAGACAGGGAACAGGTTGGATTTTCTGGGGAAAGGGGGAAATGCTTAACAAACCCTTCTGCTGTCCAGTGAGCCCTGTCCTTGGGTGTGGGGCGGGCAGCGGTGACTCACCTGAGCACCCAGGAGGATGTCCAGGAAGTCCAGGTGCCTCCGGTTCTGGATCTTCTTCTGCTCCTTCTCATCCTGCAGGGCTGCCTTCCGCTCCCTGATAACCTGGTCTGGGCCAGGAGCATAAGGTGGCACCGTGTGGGAACCCATCCTCTGCCCAAAGGGCAACTAAGGTCCCACAATGGGAGGGAGCATGGGGGGCAGGAGGAGGAACCCAGGCTTCCTTGGGGGGGCCCTGTGGGGAAGGCGTACCTGTGTGCTCATGGGCCACCTGGCAGGCCCGCAGGAAGCGGCGGCCGTGCGGGGTGAGCCAGTAGATGAAGTCATTATGGTACTGGAAGGATTCAAGGCGCTGCTGCATCAGCAGAGTGAGGTCACTGACTGCCAGGTAGTAGTTGCTGTCCCTGTACAGCAGAGGGTCAGAGGGAGGGACAGCTCAGACGCTGGCCCAGGAGCAGAGTCTAGGTAAACTCCATTCCAGGAATCCAGTGCCAACCACAGAGCTTCTGCCCTTCCTCTCCTTACTCAGAAGTCTCCTCACTAAAGCCCAGTGAGTGTCCCCGCCACAGGCAAAACCTGCCTCCCCAGAGCTGGGGTACCCTAGGGCAGGATCCTATCTCCTCTCAGACTGGGGCCCAGGACCCCTGATCACTCTCCCCTCTAAGCTGAAGCTGGCTTTGGGGGAAGAGTGCACAAAGCCCCGAGGTGCCCCCTGACCTTTGGCCCAGTCCTTTGTCCCCTTTGCCAAAGGTGCACTTCATGAGCGTGTCCAGCGCCATGTGGCCCACATCGCAGAAGATGTCAAAGCTCTTCTCCTTACGAGCCTTTTCTTCCCACTTGTCCTGGGGCCCAGAGATAGGAGACAATGTGGGGGCAGCTGAGCTGGATGCTTCACCTGTCCTTCATGACCAATTCCACCTCTGCACACTTCCATCCCCATTCCTCCCTGCCCTCCATCCTGCTAGAATGTGCAGATCGGGTGAGTAGGAGCTTGGCAGCCTCTGAGCTTTGGGCTCAGAGGGCAGAGGCAGGAAGCAGATCTTCCACAGCACATAGATGCTTCCTCCCAGCCAGGGCAGCCGATGGAGGACAGGAGAGCCAAGAGGAGGGTTGCTCCCCAGCACAGCTTTTGTGTGAGTCAGGGTAGTTCGGAGGAAGAGTTTGCTGTAAGGGGAAAGACCAGCCCCGAGAATCTAGGCCTGACCTCTGCCTTGTCTCTTACAGATGGGCTGTAATGACATTGTTTTAGGCAGTGGTAGAAGGAAGAGAATCAGCCAGAGACACTTTTGAGATGGGAAAGGGGCTTTTGTGATACTTTCAGATATAGGCAGTCTTAAAAGGTGCCTCAGTAGGAGCCTTTTTAAGGCCTCACAGGGCTGTTTGGTCTACTAAGACAGAGAGCTGGGTGTCCTGGTGGAGAAAATAGCTTTGGGCTGTTATGGCAGGCAGAACAGGGCCTCAGGGCCTCAGCGATTCTCTCTGCTGGGAATATCACCTGCCTCCCTGCAGGGCAAAATCCGGGTGGAAAGGGGCTGGCCCGGCAGCTCACAGCCTCCAGGAACCTGGCAGAGGGGGCTCACCAGCATGGCGTTGGCAGACTCAGCAAACACAGCCACATAGGGCTTCAGCACATCATAGTGGAAGCCAGGTGTGAGTAGCTTGCGGTGCTGGAACCACTTGGGTCCCTCAAGAACCAGCAGGCCTTTCCCTGGGGAAGGGACAGAGAGGGAGAGGGCTGACCAATCCAGGAAATACTTCCCTGGCAGCCTGGAACCCTCTGTGGTGAGCTGCTAATAGACACAGTATTGCCCCCACCCCTAGGTTGCCAGGACCTCAGGGCACAGAGGTGACAGTGGCTCTTGGCTGAATGAGCTCCTTCCTTAGGACAGGATGACTCAGTTTCTGCCTCTCAGCCACACCCACAAAGTCTGGACTCCAGGAGTTCATGTCAGATGACACTGAGTCAAATATCAGACAAAGGCGATACACCTCTCTGGGGACAGCTATACAGGAGAGAAGGCTGCTAAGCCTCCACTCTCAGCTGCTGAGACGGTGGCCCACAGCTTCAGGGCCCGGGAAACAATCTGCCTAGTTTTCACTTCGTGGCCTCTAGGGGGACCCTATCTTCCTGCTCCGCAACACATACCCAGCGATGGGAAAGCCTTTCTGTCTTCAAAACTGCTCTTGTTTCCTATGCCTTTTCCATCTGTCTTTTCATTGTACTCTCCTTGTGATACCTGAAGAGAGAGTTAGAATCATAGGAGGACTTCCCTATGGTACTGGGTGGTTAAATAGGCTTGGGAATGTTTGCTTCCTCTTAGCTCTGCCCCTTCTCAGATCCCAGGAGAATGCTGAGGATACCATGGGATCATAAGTAAAGGAAGGCTATGGAGATACATAGGGCCTTGGCTCCCACCTAGCTTCATCATCAAACTGTCTCCTCATCCTGGCAGCCAAGGCTGGCTGGTCCTTTCTATCTGGCTTCATCTCCCAGTCACCCAGACAGCCTCATGGTTACTAGTGACCAGCTGTGGTTCTATCACACACCTTTCCTCTGGCCCTTTCCCTGGACAGCACCCCTATAAAAATCTCTCGTAGGAGACTCTAGTGCCATCTCCTCTAGGACATCATTCTTACACTCACACATCCCCCAGAGCCCTTGCCCTGCCTGCCTAGGGAAGAAGACAGGCCCCCATCCTGACCAGCCGTGGGGGAGCCTGCTCCTCTTCTGTCTGCCTACTGAGCAGCCAGGTTTAAGATGAGCACCTGGGGGCCAGGAGCCTGGGATTACTGGCTGAGTGGGGCAGGGCAGGACCCTGATCACCCAGCACCCAGGTCTACAGACAGGTGCTCACTCACCAATCCACTGAAGGAAGAAGTCATACACATCCGAGGCCTTTGGGTCTGCAGGAGAAGGAGGTGGGTCAGGTCAAGCAGAGACAGGGGGTTCCCAGAGGAGACTTAGAGAAGATTGCAGCTGCAAAGACTTAGGACTCCGACCCAGGCCTCCTCCCCATATCACACCCTGAACCCTCTGCTTCCCTAAGAGCACCTCACCTCCACGGCTGTACACAGCTTTGGCATATTCTGGCTCATAGATGTTCAGAAAGCCAACGAACTGTCCTAACCAGAGTTGGTGGGCATAGGGGAACTGGTGGGCCCAGGACACCACTTTGTCCAGGCTCCCCGTCTGCTGGATCTGAAATGATGAGAGAAGGCCAGGGACACTCAGGAACTCAGGGCACCCGCCAGGCCCCAGGTACCTTGGAAGTAAAGGGAGAAGGCCGCCCAGGCAGGTCTTGGGAGCATCCCTCTCCCCTCTGTACCCCTCTCCTAAGCTCCTCTGGGCTCAGAGCCCACTCTAGCCCCACAGCCATGTCACAGCTGCTCTAAGTCCCAGACGTGCTCTTCTCACACCTAGGTTAGCTCAGCAATCCCAAACTCTCCAACCTCCTTCCGCCTGGCACCTGCCACCCACTCTCTGTCTTCACCGCAAGCAGAAAGCACTTTCCTCCCAACATTAAAACATTGTCATTATAAAGATAATACTTGCTTGTTGTACAATAGAGAAATCACCTCAATTCCACCCTGGCCGTGTCATTCCACACATTTTTATTAAGGACTTACATGTGTAGGGCTCTGTTCTAGACATTTCAGAGGAATGAGACATACATGTCCTGCCCTTTCATTCTATGGGGAGGATGGATACTAGTAAGAGTTGAGAGGGAAATAAAGACAGTGCTACGAGAGACACTGACAGGGACGCCAGCTTAGATAGGGTGATCTGGGAAGGCTTCCTGTTGGAGATGACATTTAAGATCTGGCCACATGAAGCAGTAAGGAGGAGCATTCTGGGGGGAGGGAACAGTAAGCGCAAAGGCTCTGGAATGGGAGAAATCATGGTGTCTCCCAGGAGCCGGCTGCCCCATGGTGGGACAGTCCCCTGAGATGAGGTTGGAGGGATTATAGGAGAGTTTATCTAGCCACATCTAGTTACCCAGAGGTGTTTTACATAAGTGAAGTTATGCTTACTATAAATACTTTTGCAAAATCAGCCTTTCTTCGTTTATCGTATCTGGTCCTCCTTTCCAAGCTAGTGCATTTAGCTGTCATTCATTGTTTTTAACTGCTGTGTAGTATTTATCCATTTCTCCCCACTTGGAGGGAGCGTCTCAAAAATACACTCAACATCTGTTAGAGGCCTGCCATAGGCCTCAGAATAGTGTCTGAGCTCTGGAGTTTGTGAGGAAATCTCGCTGTGTGCCAGCCTTGTTCTAAGCGCCTTACATCTGGACCCGACAGAATCCTCACGACAGTTCTGTGAAATCCCACTTTAGGGAACAGCTGCCTAAGGCATAGAGAGACTGGGCTGCTTGCCAGGGACCATGTAGCTTGGAAATGGAGCTGAGATGTGAACCAAGGAAAGCTGACCATATGGCCCACAACTCTGAAGCCTAACAGACCTGGGTTTGAATCTTGATCACCCCTTCCCCTATTTTCCAGTTGTGTGAACTTGGGCACTTAAATTCTTTAACTTTGAATCTTATTCTTCTCATCTGTAAAGTGGGCATAATAATGCCTATCTTTTAGGGTTGCTTTGACATTAATGAAATCATTCAGGTCATGTGTGTACGTGGGGGGGGGGTGTGCACATGCATTAGCTGTGCCCGCTGTATCCTGCCCAAGGTAAGCTTGCAGGCAAGCAGTTCCCTCCCCTTCAAGCCCACCTTTGCCTAATTCACCTTATTCCATGTCTCCTCACTGCACTCCCTGCTACCTCCCACTCCCAAATGTCTCCCAGTGTCACTAAAGAACATACTCTGATCATACCCTGGGATACTCCCACCCCTGAGTAAGGAGTGGCCAAACATTTCCCCCATCACATGGGAACCTGATCTTGGGTTATACTCTCCAACCCTGTTCGCCTGAAAACCTGATAACTATAGGGTGTCAACTGTGTTGCTAGGCAACATGGCTAACACAAACAAGACCCCTGGCTAGTAACTGACAAATGGACTGGGAACAGCTACAAATGAACAATAAACACCTGCTGGGAACACTATGCTTTGCATTTCTTGAGTGTGGTTACTCTGTAATGTGCATGGCCCTTTAGGAGTCCTGGGACCATTAGCGGATGCAGAGATTCTGTGGGCCCTGAAGATTCCAAGATGGGGTAGAGTCACACCCTCCCATGTGGATTTCATCTTCCTGCCCCCGCCCTCCACTGAGGAGAAGACAGATCACTGATGCTGTGTGGATGTCACAGGGAATGCCTGGCACTGCCTAGCTGACAAGCTGTGGTTCCTGCCCACATCCTCTGAGCAGATGGACGCTCACTGTGCCTGTGCTGTCTCGTGAGTCCAAATGTTTAGAACTAAGACAGCCCCCTGGGGTCTGCATCATCTCCGTGCCTTTGCTTACACCATCCCTTCCTCCTCACACATATTCTGCCCAAGAACACCTGTTAGGATCCTGTCTGCTCCTCCACATCTAATTTGAAATGCCCTTCTCCAGAAACATCTCTAATCCCTCAATGATTGAAATTTTTGCCTCCGCAGGGCTTCTCTAGCACTGTTAGTGCCTTCTCCACATCTCGCTTTGTATTAGAACATACCTGGGATTTCTTAAAATTAATTATATTAATATTGACATTCATTGAGCATTTCACATGTATCAGACACTGAGATAAACATGCTATCCCCACACTTGGCATTTAACCCTCCAAAAATTCTATAAAATAAGCACTGTCATCATTCTCACTTCACAGATGAAGACATTGAAGACCACAGCACTAGTCAGCAATGGGATTGGATTCACAACCAGGACCCTGACCCCACCTCTAGGCTGCAAGTTTCCTGAGAGCCCAGACCACATCCTACAGAGCTCAGACAGGGCCTTGGGAACACACTGCATATTTGATGAAGTGTGTATTGGATGAATGAAATTTAAAAATGAGCTGAAGGGCTCATGCCTATAATCCTAATACTCTGGGAGGCCAATGCAGGTGGATTGCCCTGAGCTCACAGGTTCAAGACCAGCAAGAGCAAGACCCCATCTCTAAAAATAGCCAGGCGTTGTGGTGGGTACCTATAGTCCCAGCTACTTGGGAGGCTGAGGCAAGAGAATCGCTTGTGCCTAAGAGTTTGAGATTGCTCTGAGCTATGACATCACAACACTCTACCGAGGGCAACAAAGTAAAACTCTGTCTCAATATAAACAAATAAATAAAATAAAAAATAAAAATGAGCTGAAGAAAGGAAGACCAGAAAGGAGGAGAGAAAACATATAAAGCATCTGACTAATCTAAAAACTGGCCACAGATGGTCAGTCGTGAGAAACCAGCTAAAGGTTTTACTCAATTTTGGGAAGACATAGAAGAGCCACTGGCAGCACTTTCTGCCTGACAAATAGCATTGCAGATTTCTATTTGTTCTTCCCAGCTGGCCGAGGCTAATATCCAAATTCACCACTCAGTTCTACATTCTACTTTTCAACATAGAAAACAGAAGGGAACAGGTTTGTAATGAGGATCTACCACGTGCCAGGTAGAATTCACCTGAGTGAATTCAGAGGCTGTTCCATATTCCTAGGGTAGAACAAATCATGACTCCTATTCTACAGATGAGAAAACTGAGGTTAGTTTATGTGACCCAATGTGCACAGTGCTTGTAGTCCTCTAACTCACACTCTCTTCTGCACATTGAACTGTCAGGCCTGCTGTGTTCAGTTGCATAAATTGTGCACTGCAGCCTAGAGACCATTCGTGTTGAGGTCTGCGCATATGCTGGCCCTGCTTACCCCCTCTATAAAGTTCCCTCTCATATTCCCTACCTATTCAAGTAACCCATGTTGTACTGTCCAGGGAGCAGCCCTAAAGAAGGGCACAAACATCCCCCTGATTTATCCCCCAGGGAGCTGGGCCTGATCGAAGCCACTATTCCTAAGGACCCATGGGATCAGGCCTACTTTGGTTTCCAGTGACCTATCTCAGTGACCCATCTGTGCCTACTCTGGGGTTCCTTCCTCCAAGGCCTTCTGTAGAGTCAGGTGTAATCCTCTCATAGATCCCTTCCTTCCCCGCCTCTGAGCTTAGAATCCTGAGTTCAACCCAAGGCAGTTGTACAGTTTTCACAACCCTAAAGCACACAATGTCAAAAAAAGCACAAAATTATAAAAATTACCTCTACCCACTCCAGGTTAGAGGGAATCTTCTGGTGTCCCTGCTTCCTTCCTGGGTGATATGCTGGTAGTGTTCCTTTCTCCCTCTGTCTCTCTTATTTTCCCATCTGCCCTCCTGGGTTTTCCTTGCTGGTTTTCTGATTACCAGGCCATTCCTCTTTTCTCCATCACTCCCAGGTCAGGAGGGAGGACAGGTGGACAGGGCATGGAAAGGCTTAAGCTACCAGAAATTCAGACTCAACAGGATCTCAGGATTGGAAGGAGCCCTTGGCTAATATGGTTCATCTGAGCCCCACTCCTGCTTTTATTAGCCTCTCCTTATTACTCCTCTGAAATATCCCCACAAGGGACAGGGAACCCTGACTTCATGCCAACCTAGGTCCAGCCGGCATGCCACTGCCTCCCTGTACCCAGCTTGATTGTCCCAGGAACCTGGTGAGCTCTAGGATGGCTCCTGGCCCCACCACTGCAGCTGCAGTTCCTCAAGAAGGCTGGGGCATCCCCCCTTTGAGTTGTGTAACTTCGCCAGCTCCTCTGGGTTACATAACTGGATGCCTCAGACTCATCCTCAGATGCCCCGAGTTGGGACATCTACAGGGCTGGGAGGTCTGGGCTAGCTTGTTTTTATCAAGAAGAAAGAAGGAAACAGAAAAAGATCAGGCATGGAGATAATTCGATAATTCACTGGCTCCAGGTCCCCAGCTCTACCCCCCTCTCCTCACATTCTCACTCCTTATTGACCTCACCGGAAATAAACCTTTGGAGGAAATGGGGAGAGCAGGCCCAAGTCACTATTCTCTTCTCTGTTCCCCAAGAGTCTAAGTAAGTTTTGCTCCAAAGAGCAGATGAGAAAGGGACGTCAATGTTAAATAGTTGCACCATGACCTCTCTTTATAGGTGGGAACAGTGTATCCCAAAGACCAAAGGGAAGGGTCTCACATAAGTTAGGGCAGGCTGGGGATCCTGGCAGCTGCTCTGTCTGATGTCCTTCCTGTTACTCAGCCTGCTCAAGCCACTAGCTGGTTGAACTGAAGCTCAGCTGACCAGCGACCAGGAAACAAGCTACCCACTTGGCCAGTTTGCAGTAGCTGCAGCTCCCAGGGGCTATTTGAGAACAAAACATCGGCTCACAAAATGGGGATGGGAGTTTAGAAAAACAAATATTTAGAGAGGGAAAGGACAGGATTTCCTCTTCTCTGGCATGCTGGTGTTCCTTTGATGCAGGTCCTGTCAATCTCAGAATCCCAGGACCCAGGCTGCCTGGCCCAGTGCTTCACTTTGTGACAATCCCTGCCCCAGAACTCAGATGACTCTAGTGACAGGAGACTTAATGTTTTTTGAAAGACTTCTTAGTCACCAAACTGAAAGCCACTGCCTGTAGCCCTCCCCATGGCTCCCCATTCTGCTCTTTGGGGCCACATAGGCTCCCACTGCCCAGGGAAGTCCTCAGGGATTGGGAGTTGGGGGCCAGAGCCTCCTTCAGGACGCAACCCTTGGGTGCCCTTGTCTCAATCATCTCCCCATGTGGGCACCCCCCTACACACACAGACAAGATTGTCAGGGCTCTGTGTGTGCATGACTTAAGCCACAAGTTTTTAAATAAAGCTCAAGAGTCAGGAGCACTTGCTAATGAGAACCAACCAAAAGTGAGAAAGGCAGCTCTCCAAAACAACCATAAAAATCAGCGGGAAAAGTGGGCTCAATTTACATAAACTCCTTGGGGATTCAACTGCAGGGTTGAGCAGAGAGACATGGTGAGCATGGACAGAGGGGTCTGGTGTGCCAAGGAGCAGAGAAGTGACTTCCCCCCATGCTCCATCCTCTGTCCCTCCTTTCAGAGATAAATGTATGATTACACATGTGCGTGTGAACATGTGTGAACACATCAGATACACAAAGAGCCTCTGGCTTACCAGAAGGAGCCAAGAGACTTTGTGTGAAATCAGGATGGCCACTGTGTATTGGGTAGTAAGTTATGATGGGTCTGACCCAAAGTCATTTAACTAGCATCATGTCCCCGTCTTCAGATTCCAACACCTGTGCTCTGCCCCCAACACCTCTCCCATCTTCAGCATCAAAAGATGAACCCCATCCCCAAAATTACAAATGGGAGGCAGAATGCAGGAAAACATCCAAATCCCTAAGAAGATAGGAAGGGCAGGGGCCGAAGAGATATCTAAGAGCGCAGGGGATGCAGTTATTGGTCCTCAGCCTGTTTTGGTGGTTTCTTGCCCAGAAGTGGGTCCCCTAGTGATTCATTCACTCATTCAACACATGGGCATTGAGTGCCCAATGTATGCCAGGCTCTCAGTGGTAAGCAAGACAAAGCAGACCCTTCAGATAGTTGTTTAAAAGCAAAGAAGCCAGAGCACAGATGTGTTCTAGGCCCTTTGCACACTGTCAAAGTGGGAATGGAGGCAGCCGGGGGGAAATGCAGCCACCTGTGACATGGAGGTGAAGGCACAAGCTTCCCATCCTAAGAAAGTCCATGGCCCAGGGCAAACCCAACTTTTACTAGGCAGATAGAAGTGGAGAGGGCATGAGAGGAATGGGGTGAAGTTCTCCCTAAATCTCTCTTCTACCCTACTAGACCTCAACCTTCCCATGACCCTCATTCTGTACTTAGCAAAGCCCCTTCCAGACCCTCTTGGTCCCTGCCACCCTTCTCCATCACTCTCTCTCCTCTGTGGATACCCCTCTGTACTCTCCAACTTTCAGTGTTAGTTTATTTGGTGATGCCTACTCTGTGCCAGGCTTTGTGGTAGACTCTGAAGATACAAGGATGAAGTAGACCAGATCTCCAGAGGCCACAAGAAAGATGAGCAAGTAGACAGACGGTGAAAACCCAATGGGACTCAAGTGCTGAGATTAAAAGGATGGCGCTGAGGCAGATCCTGATTAGAGTAGTGTCTGTGGTGTCTCTTCCCCCCCCCCCCGCAGATAGTAAGTTTCTTGAGATCCTGGGCCTGGGTCAGATTCATCTCCCTAACCCACCCTTTCTTTTCTGGATATATTCAGGATATATGAGAGTTACCCAGCAGTTCATTTGTAGGGACAAGAATAAACCTAGTGGTCAAGCTCATTTCTAGTGTCAATCAAGGAAGAGAGGCAACATCTCAAACTGAGAACCAGGAAGGCGGATTCTGCAGGTAGGAGAAGGAACTAAGCTTCTGTTTGAGCCTTAATCTCTGGCACTCCAAACCTGGGATACCCAACCTGACTGCAGATCAAAACACTTGGAAAGGTTTTTAAAGTTAGACTCCTAGTTCCAATCCAACAAATTAGAATCTCCAGGGATCTGCTTTTCCCAGTTGATTACAATTCCCTGCCCAGGGAAACAAGAGATGCTCCTGACAGTGGATGTCGAGGTGGTCCCCACCACCTTGAGTTAACAGGAAGGTGAGCCAAGATCTGGACCTGAGCAGGTGTTGTGGCTCCAGAGCCACCCATAGGTATGTCAGGCCCCACAACTTGGAGTCTGCAAGGCCTCCCATGAAACATAACTCCTCTCCATCCTTAGAAATGAAAATCTTTACACTGCACAAAGAGGACCCTGATTAAGCTGTAAACATGATTTCCTCATTCTACTGGAATATCCAGAGGCTTTAATTTTTCCCCTATGCTGTTGCTGAGTCTTTAGCAGAGCCTCATCTGAACTTTGGGCCTCAGAATAATGACATGGAGTCTGTGGCCTTCTTGGGCCCCAACTTTAAATTGTCCCCCACCTTCTGAAGCCAGCTTGAAAGACAGGACTGAAGGAGAATCCCGGGGACAGAATTGAGTGGGAACCATCGTTTCCAGCATGTTATCCCCCTGCCCAAGTTTAGGTGTCCTCCCACAGACCCTCCCCATGGTCCCTGGGGGACTAGGCCTAATTCTCTCAAGAAAGGGAGGCTATTTCTTTCTTTTCCCCCCACATACCTCGAGGGCATGCCCAAACAGCCAGTGGGTGGGGGGGCCTGGGAAGTTGTCCATAGCCCTGGCCAACCTCTGCCTCCGCAGCAGCAGGCTAATGAGCTTGAGGAAGCTTAAGATCAAGATCAATCCAGAAGCCCACAGACCCAGGCGGGTGACGAAGCTAGACACCATGGCTAGAGCTGCGATCACCCAGGCTCTGACCTGCCTCCGGCTGCTCCTGGGTGCCTTTAAACTATGGATCCAGGCACCCTGCCAGCTCCGTCCCAAGCCACACCCCACAGCCAGGAACAGCCTAGGCTGGGCTGAGTGCCATGAGGCAGAGACAGCAATTCCCAAAGTCACAGATAGAAGAAAAGAGAGACCACCTGTCTTCTCCCAAAACTCAGCTGAAAAAAAACCTAGTGGGAGGCTTCAAAGAAATCAGACAATGGGCATCCTGCCTTGGTTCCTCTGAGGAGCAAACAGATGGCAATTCTTGGTGTAATCAGTGTGGTGACAGCTATTTTCTTATACAAGCAGCCTGGCCATGTGATAAAGGGAGTGTTTGGGGAAAAAGAGCCTGAACAAACTCCCATCTGATGGAGCAGCAGGGCCTCCTGGCAAAGACCATGCAAGATTTGCCTAGGAAGTAAATAGGGATATTTTAGAAGTTGTTGAGTTGGGAGAGTGGACGTTGGGTGAATGACTCTCCAGTGTCCATTCCTTGTTTCCCACTTCCACTCAGTATCATGAATTTTCTTGTTTTGGAGTGCGTTAGCATTGATCGCACCCCCAACTGCAGTATGGGTCTGTATTTATTGAAGATAGTCTAGATTTGTCTTGCTCACTGCAACTAATTGGTTCAAGGATAGGCATGTGACCAAAGTCAGCCAATCAAGGCTAATGAAACTCAATTTCCAGTACCTCAAGCTATCTGGAGACAGACTCTCTTTTCAATATTGGATTTGTCCCTGGAAGCATGTAATCTCAAGAGCCATCTTGAGTGTGGGTAGAAGTGAACAAGAATGTACTCAATATGAAAGGAATGGAACTGAAAAATATAAAGACAGAAACTGAACGCCAGTCACATCATTTGAATTCCTGGATCAAGCTTCACCTGAAGCTTGAATTAGCTTTGGTTTCTTTTAATTACACGAGCCAACATGTAATTAAATCTTTATTGTTTAAACTTAATTTGGGTTGGATTTTCTCTTGTTTGAAACCATGATATATTCTCCATGATATAGTAGGGGATGCCCAGGAAAAAATGGGAAAGGCTTGGTTAAATTGGGCTGAAACATACTTAGTGGGTAAGCCTGGGAAAAACAGAATGGAGTTAACTTGGAAAGGAACAAGTGTGATTAACCTGGTATATCTGGAGCAGAAGGGATATCCTGGGAAGTAGTAAAGAGTTCATAAAGGAGCTCTAAGTGAGATTAGCCTGGGCAAAGCTCTCATAAGATGGGAGCAAGCATGATTTGGGTATAGTTAAAGTGAGCAGCATGGTTTGGAGGAGAAGCAGATATCTAAGATATCATGAAGCAGGAAATACAAAGGGGAGGAACATGTCAAGAAAATGAACTGTCAAGAGCAGGGTTAACATGGAGCTTCAAACAGAGGGGTAAGGAGACTGAACGTTGTCTTCTAGGCTGCAGGGAGCCACCGAAGGAGTCTTCAGAAACAAGAGTGATCAGGGATGGCTTCCAAGAACATCACTCCCTTTGTGTGTGTGCAGTGACTGGTTTAGTGAGGATGGGGCCTGCAGAAGACCTGGAAAGGAGACGTTATCAATGCACTTATCCTTGTGAGAGATGACAGATCTGGACAGGGAGGTAGCAGAGGGCATGACTCTGGGCTGGTGGTGTGAAAGAGGGCCTGGACTGGGTTGGCAAGCAGGGAGATGAATTCAAAGGGAGGACAAGCCAGGTAAATGTTGCTTGAGGCCTCAGAGGTGCTAAATGCCTTCTCCTGCTGGAATGGCCCATCATTCATGGTCTATTTGTGATACACCCCACTTCCCACTCCTTGGCTGAAATCTGGCAGCCATCCATACTTACAGGGCTAAAGGCAGGTCATGGCTGAGCACGGTGGCCCACAGCTGTAATCATAGCACTCTGGGAGGTCAAGGTGGGAGGATTGCTTAAGGTTAGCAGTTTGAGACCAGTCTGGGCAAGAGATAGACCCCACCTCTACTAAAAATAGAAAAATTAGCCAGGTGTGATGGCACATGCCTGCAGTCCCAGCTACTTGGGAGGCTAAGGCAAGAGGATCACTTGAGCCCAGAAGTTTGAGGTTGTAGTAAATTCTGATCACACCATTGCACTCTAGCCTGGGTGAGAGAGCAAAGACTCTGCCTCAAAAAGAAAGAAAAGAAAAGAAAAGAAAGAAAGAGAAAAAGTGCAGGCTGTAAGGGTTCCCTGGGGATCCCAACCTGGGTTGAGGGTTAACAAGGGAGACAATACTGGGGAAATAACAAGACTTTACACCAGTTTAATGTATAAATCTAGGTAGCCTGTAGAGTTGTACATTGAATCACACATCAAGTGGCAAATCAAGGCAATGCAGCAACCCTCTGCCTCCTCAGAAACCTTTTATTGATCTCTAACACAAAGGGTACATGCAAAATGCAAAGATGCCAAAATGGGATTAAAAGACTTCCAAGCTCCCAGGAAGACTGAGTAAAAAGGCAACAGCTGGGAAATCGGGAACACAGGGTAGTGAGTTGTCAACAACTGTGATAATGCATTTAGAGAGGGGGAGGGGAAAACAAGTTTCATCTCTGCAGCGCAGCACAGACAAACCAGCTTCCCTAATCCAACTGCCAATCAAGAGTTCAAAAGACTCAGCCCCACCGATTCTCTGAGCAGGGGGTTTTTGATGACTTCATCCTGTGCTCTTTACCCTTTACCTTTACCCTTTACATGATGGCATGTACCGTCACACCGGCTGAGATGAAAGATGCTCCTTTAATCTTCAGTGGTCTTAATAAGGAGCACCCAGGGATGGGCCATCTATATGCTTCACCATGGACTGAGGCACCCCACAGAGAGATCAGCCTGTCTGCCTCCCACAGCAGGCCACCATGTGGCCAGAGTAAAGGCTGGGCAGCAGCCAACTCCCAGGTTTTCATCTTTTAGCCACCCACCCCAGCCACCATGGCAGTATGATTCTCAGAAGCCAAAATGTACCTCCCTGCATATCCTACCCAAGGGCCACATAAAAAAAAACTTCAACTGTTAAAAAAGAAAAGTCTTGTAGATATCCCCCTTTGCAGTAGTGTCCCGGAATGAGCTGGCACTGGCTCTCCAGAGCAAATTGTATGCATCACTCCCTAACTCTAGGTTCAGTGATATCACATTAATAACCTGAAATTAACCATCATGGGAGTATTTACACCACAGAAACTGGCAAATGCTACAACACACGCTTTTTCCCCTAGGGAGGCAGTTGTTAAACATTTTCCAACACACTTTTGCCCCAAACCCTAAGCTGCATAGTTTGCAGCCCTCCTTGACTTGCCTAAGAAACCACCACTATGTAGGACCAGAATGGAAGGCTGCTTTTCAGGTTCCTTGGGGAAAAAAGTATTTAGGTCTTTAATAACAATAAAGAGATGGTGTTAGGGAGATGGAGACAACAAGATTGCCTTTATCCAATCTTTCCCATCCACCTTTATCCAATTCTTCCCATCTCTCCAAGATGCTGTCCTCCATACCCTTCCACTTCAGAAACACCAGTCAGAGCCAGTCTGCTAAATCTGGTACCTCAGTCTGCAACTTGTCTTGGATGTGTTCACCTTCAACCTTGCAGTACTTATTTCATTCAGGGCTTGTCTTATCCTCAATTCCTCCCATTCTGCTGTAAGCTGGAGACTATGCTTGTCTTTTCCCTCACTTTTCATGAGACAGACAAGATATAATCACTTGGGGAGCCCATGACCAATGCATGACCCATGCGTGAATGAAAGAAAGAATGGACCATCTTTGAGGGTTTTGCAGACACCACGTTTTGGGAAAGTTGAGAGAACATTGCAAATGTGCACCCACCACACTGCACTGCTCTTACCCACGGCTCCATAAACCATCAAGGGACATTCTAGGTCCTTTCTGCTTCCCTAGCAGCTTCACACAGTAGACACTTAATAAATAATTGTTTGGTAAGCAAATGTTGAAGAGATCTGCTATTATAGCTGGGGATAGGAGGAGATGGCGAGGAAATGTTTACTGACCTGGGCAAACACTGTACTGATGCTATGTCCTGTGACTGGGTCTCAGTAACCATTGCTTGGGGGGGAGCTCAAAGCTTACCACTGTCTTCGATGGAGCCCCTACCTCAATTCTCCAGATATGCCAGACAAACTGAGTGTGAATTCCTGAGTGGAAAAGGAACCAGACAATATTCAGAGGAAGAAAAGATGTGTCTAGAGCAAAATCTCCACCTTGGCTGCACATTGGAATCACCTAACCCCCTTGAGACACTCCTGTCATCTGTACAGGCCCAAGACCTGTCTTCCTCCTCACACAGCCTTCTCCACAGGATTGTCATAAGGATCCTGTGATGGTGGCAATGTTCCAAGCATGTTATAAAGTTGGTGGACGACATGAGGGGAGGTCATCATGGCTACAATCAGCGCCCAGGTGAGGAGGGGGAAGAAGGCAATAGCTCCTTGTCCCGGCTTGGGCTGAGTGCCCCGGTCCTGAAAGTGTGAGGGGTAAAGGGTGGAGGGTGGAGATGGGGAGAGCAGGGGGCATGATGAATGGGTGGCAGTGGGGTGGACAGAAAGCAGTCACTCTCTAGGCTCTGTCCTCAGTGGAGGCTCCAGAGGGCATGGGGCCCTCTTCCAAAGTGCTCCAATCTACCTCATGGATGGCTTTGCCATGAAGACAGCTAATGATGCAGCATGAGGGAGAGGACGTGACTCAGAGTCCCTGCTCTCCCAGAGACCAGGATGGTGGGGACTTTAAGTTCCATGTGAAACTGTGAGCTGTGTCACACTCCAAAGGAGATGAGTACAAGATGCATCCCTGAGAAGGATGGGTAATGGGAGAAGAAAGGGAGGTAAGAGAACACAACTCAACAAACAAAACTTGAATCTCAGCAAATGAAGAAAGATAGGTCAGTGCCTGGGAAGACAGACACCAAAGGGGAGGCTTCCCTCATCTGTGTACAGGGGAGGGACCACTTTTCTTCTATCACTCTTCCCACTCATTCACTTATTCATTCATCATTACACATTTGCTGAGCACCCACTAAATAAATGCTCCTAT